TTTGGACAATTGTAGAGGCAGTTGAGGATGTGGACCAAATGGGTCTGTGTCACATTACCCAAAAGGTGACGGTTAAGTGTATAATATTGTATATATCGTGTCAAATCACATCACATCCAAACTTATTGTATATCCTAAAATATTGTAACACACCTTGTGTAGTTTTTTGTTATTCTGCAGTGTCATATTTTGTTGTATTATACTGTGTATCATGTTGTTGCTCTGTATCTTATATCATCTCATATCAGCTTTTCTTAATGTGTAGTATGTTGTTGCTCTGTGTCATACTGTATTGAATCATAGTAAAGCAAAGCATATAGTACATTAGCGTAAAGTATCATATTGATTCTTATCATACCGTACTATGTGATATCTATATTGTATTACATCTATTGTATCGATTTGTATTATATCTTGTGTCACATTGAGTCTAATCTGGTTTTGTATCATATTGTAACACGTTGCAAAATTACTTTCTTTAGTCCAACAAATTGACTGAATTCATTAAAAGCTGCTGGGGTGTTTTTGGCTGTGCTCTGTTGATTGTACTTTGTCAATTTTGTTTCAAATATCATAATGGCGGCCTTTCAGTTGCTTCTAATCTCGAACCCCCCCCCCCAAAAAAAAAAAAAGAAAGAAAAAAAAAACAACAACCTTGCATTTGACCCTAATGACCTATAATAGAGAGGAGCAATGTCATCTATACAAACAGAGAGGGAGAGGAAATCCACACTTCTTTCCACAGTATCTGTGACATTTTGAAGGGCCAGTGTAATTAGAGGGGGTAGGACAGTCAGAGCAGCCTGTGACCACAATTGTGAGGAAGTGGCAGAAAAAAAGATGAACTATTGTCTGCTATGACCTCTCGCCTGGTAAAGTTTGAGAATACAGTCACTTTTTCAAGTGTGTATCAAAGTCCTTATTTCTTGATTCTTGGCTCATTCTTTGTCTGGGATAAAGGAGTGGAGGTGGACTGAGTTTTTTGTCCCAGACATTCTCAGAGAAAATATCTGGGGTCCCTGACATTTTGATGACGGTCCCTGTGCCTGCTTACTGTTAAAAAGCGAAAATCTTACCTTCAGTGAAGACATGGAGCAACAGCTTCAAATGGGCATGCAGCTCACATTGATCCTGGGGTGCGGGGGGATATTTTTTTTATTTTTTTTTTGTCTGTTCACTGACTGAAACTCTTGCACATCTTTTCAGTCTGTGTTCAAGGCTGATATTATTGTTTAACCTTTTAAAAAGTTTTCCTTTTTTCAGGGTCTTTGGGGGCTTTTTCAATTATTTATTGCTTTTTATTTTTGGTCAAAAGTGTTCAGCTAAGGAAAAAACTTTTTTTTTTTTTTTTTTTTTTAATCTGGTTCGATCAAGCTGTCTGTCTGGCTGACATGCAGAGACCAGCTCATAACCTCAGGGGCTCGGCACGCTTGCAATTTCTTTACAGACTGCTGAGGCCCTAATGGCAAGTGGATTCTGCCTACTATCAAATGTCATATACAGGCTCTCAGGAGCCTTTTGAGATTTGTTGGGGAACAGCTGAGGCCACTTTCATTGATTGGGATACATGTCATTTTGGTTCTCAAGGGGCTTTAATGCATTAATGAAGACGAAAGGTTTTATTACTGAGTTTCTTGGGGGAGTACTAGTAGTGCTTCTGCCTGCTTGACTATAATGTGCAGCTTTGAAACACTGTAAAGCTGGTGTACTATGCTGTACCCACGTTGTGTATGATGTTTACAGCAGCCCAGACAATCTACACTAATGAAATATCAGAAAACTGTAAGCTCATACACAGGGTTTTCCAGGACATTTCCAGGATATTTTCAGTGATGTTCAAGGGTCATTCTATGAAATCGGTGCCTTTTCAGCTTAAAAAATGTATTTAGTTTTTAATTTTTCAGTACCAAGGAATCAAAGAATGTTTATAATGGCAGGAAATTATATTGTGCCATCTCAAGCTGTGTTATTTCATATTTTATAACCGTTTTTCTCCTGGCTGTTTTCATAATCTTGTCAACCCTGTTACCCTTATAAAGTTAACAAAATACAATATTTCTGATTAGAAATATGCAATATATGGTACATATATTAGCAGTACTTTAGTCTCTCTTTCCATAGAGATTATTTTATTTTGTGGATTTTCTTCTACAATTACCTATTTGTCATTCAGATGATCAAATATACCCTCATTTTGCATGGCGATCATGTCTCAACATACATCAGATATTTTTTAGAGGAGAAATGTTGAAAAATGGCCCAATCTATAATATAATATAATTTAAATGGTGAGTGTTGAAATATTTATTAGCTCAATAATGTTCACTTGATGACCTAAAAATGCTTTAATTTTGAAAGGTTAACCTTTGAAGAGAGTACAACAAGGGTAAACACTGTTCTATGTCATCCCTGTTACTCACATGTCAAGGGTGGAGTAGATCTTGCAGGTAGGGGTTGGCCTGGTTGTGGAGTGCTTTGTGGGTGAGAGGGAGGATTTTGTACTGAATGCGTTGGGGGATGGGGAGCCAGTGAAGGTTCTGGAGGACGGGGGTGTAGCGATTTTAAATTCAAAATAAATGTCGAAAATTAATCAAATTAAATTATGACATTTATGCACTCGTTGAAGGGGCACCACCCACCTTTCTGGTGGGAAAAAGGACGAAACAAAGTTCAATTGAGTAATTAAACGTTGGATCAGTCTTACACAGATTTAAATCAGTCTCTCATCTGAGGCCGGAATTCTTCATTCAGGGACTACTTTCTGAAAGACCACTAAGACGACAACTTAGAATTAAATGGACAATTTATTAACAAGCTATATGATAACAAAACGTCAATAAATGATGATCAAATAATGAGCAAATCAAAGCACATCTAATGAATAAACGAAGGAATGGTTTAAATTAAACCTAAGACTGGAGGTTAATAATAGTGAGTGAATAAAGGGGAAATTTAACCTACGTTAACGGAGTTACGAGGGTAAATAAAAGGAATTTGGAGAACTAAACTATAATTTATAAGAGTAAGCTACTGAACGGTTGACGGCATCACCCAGTTCTCATCACAGCAGTTTAGAGGATTTAGCCTACTTTGGACGTCGGTTCTCAGCGGCACCCTTGGAATGGATCAGCTGAAGTTCTGTGGCTACCGGACCGGATACTGAAGGTTCGGCGGGGAATTCTTCCGCCGTGTCTGGATCTCAGCTTCAGGACCGTGTCAGCGCCGTTAGATACTTCGGATCTCTGGGCCTCTCGGAACCAGGTGGCAAAGCAGCTTGGCAGATGATGCTGGTCGGCGTTCAGGACTTGCTTGGTTGCAGATTAATTCGCGCCAATAACTTAAGAAAATAATTTCGCTGGCCAGCCGATATTATCTTCAGGAGTCACTTTAGCGAACAAAAATAAAAGACTTAGACTGAGGTTCTCTTATGCGCGCAGCTTGTTACTGAGGCTCTAAAGGACTTGGGAATGCTTTCATCCAAGTTTAGAATAAAATCTGAGCTTAAGGCAATTAATAAAACGCGGGGAAAATTGCGAACGATAGGCGAAGACAAAAGAAAACTAGACGAAGACAAAAACGGAAGAGACAAAAACTGAAGAGAAGAAAAACTGAAGAGAAGACAAAACTGAAGACCGAGCAAAGACTCCCGGGCTCTTTTAAACCATCCCGTGTGGGCGTGAGCCAAGAGGAAAGTTACAGCCAATGCTGTAACCCGATGCAGCACATCGACTGGCAGCGAATTTAACTCAACTTGATATTAAAAGCGAGCTAGATCTAATTTACTCACTCACTATGATTAAACTGTTTATAACATCACATACGATCACATTTCACTTCATTGTTTCTTATGAGCAGACGCATTAAAGCATGACATTGCAAACAGTAAACTTTGATCAGCCGTCTTCTTGACACTAACAGAGGATTAATGACTTTTAAAAGTTAGAGAGGGACAGAAAACAAATTATCTATTCGAACAGAAACACCATCCAGCATAAGAAACACATACGTAATAATATTTGACAACATTATAACCTTGTCAATCAAGCTTCCCAGATGATTAATATATATTTTTGTGTGAGGTAGATAAAACATAGTATGGATACATTCCGAAACTCTTAACTTGAGTCTAAACGAGTTTCACGTTACTACTTCTAAACTACTAGCCTATCTTGGGAATACCATTTACTAAGCTACGAAGTGTATAACAAAAGGAAAGAAATACACGTGATTAGATTCCTGCCATTTGGCTCTGATCAAACCATATTCAGGCATCACCACTAGGAGGAGCTCTTGGTCCATGGAAAACCTGGAATAAATTTGTGAAGTTAACAGTTTGGCTTGTGGATATGTTACAGAATTGGAAAAAAGACCATTTCATTAAGAATGTGGTGTACAGACAGAAAATCCTGGTGAAGTGTCCATTAAACATGAAGTTAAACCATTTTCAGTCATCTTCTTCCTTCTGCTCTGTAAAGAAAGCCAAGGAATTTATGGCAGGCATCTGGTTTTTCAGATTTGGCGCCAACTGGCCTGTTTTCCCCCCTAGGTCATTGGGTTAATCCTGAAGTGTCAATTCTGATCTTTCCCAACCAGGGTGAGAGACTCCGTGTTTATGGGTCTGTGTGGTTGATAAGCAACTTGTCCTTTTTGGGAAGCGTTAAAGATTCACTATCACCTCCCAAATGGTTGCCTGGGTCGTAAATGGGAACTTGGTGTGCAAACCGTTACTCCCCCATTTCCTGTCCAAACCAGAGGAGCCTGCATTCCTTTGAGGGGTGAATTCAAGGTGGATAGCAGAAAGCAGTTGTCTCATTACATATCCCCCCTTCGTCTCGATGGCAGCTCCAGGAGCCATTGGGACGACGAGATGAGACGACCAGGTGGAAGCAGCAGTTAGTCCAAGGAGGGTGATGCGTCTCGTTCAGAACTATCTACTTCGTTAGATCTATTGTGTGTGTTAAGCCTACTACATCTATGGGTGCGGGGTTACAGGAAGCTGACTACACCTCGAGCATGTGGCTCACCTTGTCTTCCTCTGGCTGTTCAACTTCCTGTTCCGTTTCAGGTTGTCTACGGAGTCGTAACCTAGTTACACAGTGGTCTATTTTGTACTGTAGGGCTTTACCACGTTTGACGTAGATGAAGGTTAACCCGAAGGTCAGGAGGTACCCTAACACTATGGCGGCTGCTAGTAAGGTGTCTGGGGTGGACCAAACATAGACTATTGGTTGCAGCGGGGACTTCTCTTGGGACCTTATGTCTATAAGGACGTCATCTACAGGCGTTAGGTCAATGATCTGAGTACCTGCATACTGGATTTGAGAAATAGTGTTTGGATCTAACTGCAGCGTATGCTTGCTGAAAAACGCTGGCACTTCAATCTCTGTTTCGAATTGCTCAGGGTTGAGGTAAAAGAGGGCAATGTCATCTATATGGAGAATGGCATTTGGTGGCACCTCAATCCACATGGTCTGATCCAGTAGAGAAATGCGTGTGGCAGTATCGTGCTGGTCGTAATTTACAATGGCAGTCTTGGTGGGGGTGTTAACTAACCAACGGTGACCCACTCTTTCGGCCTGCGTTACAGTCACTTGTGAGCGGTGTCTTGCTGTAGTAGGGCATTTGGTGTCGGCCACCATGGGCGTAAGGCCGCAGAGGCCATTAGTACTGTCCCACACAAATGGTTTACTGGGGCAGAGGTAGTGTATGTCTTTGGTTCGTGTGCACATACGCAGGTTAGGAGCTAGATATAGGTCAGGATTGCTGTCGTGGTAAGCGACCACTGGTGGGGTCTGAATTTGGAGGTGTGCGTCCTCTTTCCAAAACCCGACATTGACTACATCCTTTAGCCTATAGATGCTTCCTGATGCTATAATTGGCAAGTTAATAAGGAAAGCAATTTCTCGATCTTCGGGATTAACGTAGATCGGCACAGCGCTACCTAGGGTATACGCGAGGTGGGCTTGTAAAGGAGTGGTGGCCTCTCTGGTTGCAGTTGATAGTAAATCCTGAACCAATGAGAGAGGTACCAAGTACGGAGGAATCCGGCCTGCAGCCAAACTGTCTATTGAGGATGATATTTCTTGCAACATGTCTGACATGAGCATATTCAGTAGCATTGTGTGAGCATAGTCGACCTGGACCACCGACAACAAAGAATTTACAGCACGCAGCGTCTTATTCAGGACTTCTGTGTGGGTGTTAACCACCAGAACGGTGCCCTTGACTGTTTGACCAATAGTCTGCAGTTGTGTCTGCTGTCTGTTTATCTGAGCCCTGATGTCTGGGATTTCGGCTTCTAGCTCACCCACATGGCGTTTGACAGCAGCTAAGCTAATGGCATTAACAGAGGAGAGCCCAACACCAAAAAGAGAGCCAACAACCGAGGCTGCGGTAAGCAATGCTCCGATAAAACGCTTGGACCTCCTGTTGGTACCACTTAACTCTGTTTGAGAGACAGTGAATTTCTGAAGTTGCTCTAACATGTAAGTAATGTCCAACTCGGCGTGATTTACGACCTGTCTGCTCCAATGTGTCCCGGCCCAACTGGTCAGTTGAGCTGTTACCGGAACATTTTTCTTGAGGACTTCCTTAGGGTTGAGCCTGACAAACACCTTCTGTGTGTGCAGGCGACAGTCTGTTATCAGGAGTCCAGGCTGATCCCTTAACACAATTCCAGAGTCCGGTCCTGGCTCTATGATCTCAGGGCTAGCTGGAGCAGCTACCAAGCCGAGAATCAGGAGCGCTATCAGCCAAATCATCCTGAGGAAGAGGGTGGACATAGTTAGGATGAGTTGGTAGAGGACAATCTAGAATTCAAATGTTCCCTGTCACTTTATTTTCTCCTCCCCCTTTGTAACCCAAAGTGTGCCCGAGGGCAACTCAGTGGCAACAATTCAACAATAATACAGACGCACAAATAGGATAAACTTCACGTGGACACAATATCTACGAGGACTAGGGGACCTGACGTCAATCAGGAGAACTTAGGACTGTTCTAGTTTATGACTCAAGGGTGGCGCTGGAGGCCCCGACAAGTCCCATGGGGTTGTGGTGAAGTTTAATCTGGTTGCGGTGGACCCATTTAAGGGTCGGCTCTTTGTTGCCCTTTGCGATCTTAATTTGGTACACAACAGAAGAGAGCTTTTCAGTGATCAGGTACGGGCCTGCCCAGCGGGGCAGGAACTTTCGTGCCAGTCTCCCAGACTTTGGGGCTTTATCTCCAGTGGGCTGGGTGAACAGGTAGTACCATACCTTGTCACCTACTTGGAGTTCCTGTTGGGAGGCTTTTTGGTCATAATAGGACTTACGTCCTTCAGCACTTTTGCTGAGATGCTCTTGGGTGAAGGCAAACGTTGCCTTCAGGTGCTGGTGTAAGTCAGTCATATACTGATGGGTCGTGTAGGCCGTTGCTATACTGGCCTCACCTGGCTGATACAGCAGGTGCAGAGGTAGGGTCATCTGTCTGCCCGTCATCAACTCGAAGGGTGAGAACCCGGTTGACCCATGTGGAGTCGCTCTGATGGCCATCAGGACCAAGGGAAGCTTAACATCCCAGTCCTTGTGGTTGGCTAACACATACTTTTTCAGTATGGTTACCACTGTTCGGTTTGCCCGTTCTACCTGTCCAGACGACTGGGGGTGGTGGCTGATGTGAAAGTTGGCTTTGACGCCCAACAGTTGCCACAGTTGTTGCATTACCTCTGAGGTGAAATGTGTCCCTCTGTCAGAGTCGACACGAGTTGGGAGTCCGAACCGCGAGAAGATGTGGTTCATCAAGAGGTATGCTGTGGTTTGAGCCGTATCATTTGGGGCTGGTAGGCATTCTACCCATTTGGTGAATGCACAGACAACTGTGAGGAAGTATTTGTTTCCTCTTGCTGACTTAGTGAGAGGACCCACCCAATCGATCTGGAGGTCTGACCAAGGAAAGGAGATACCTCTGCGCTGTAGAGGTGCTCGATGGAGTGGGTTTGCCGGTTGAAACTGGCAGCAAACCAGGCACCCTTTTATATAGTCAGCTACATCTTTCTGCATGTGTGGCCAATAGGCCACCTGTTGGAGAGCATGGAGCGTGGCTTTGTTTCCTCTGTGTCCTGCGCACGGTGTGTCATGGGCGTATGTCAACATCACCCCCCTGTGGCTGCGAGGCACCACGAGGGCAGGCGAAGTGAGTGCATCGGAGACATAAACCAGAAAGCCCTTGACGAGCCGCAGCGAAGAGCGCACGCGGAAAAGATGGCGCAGGCCAGGGATGGAGTCAAGCAAGTCAGGAGGCATGGAGGAGTCAGGAGGCCCCTGAAAGGAACTGCGTCATGGCAGCAATGGCTGGGTCCGAAGCTTGGAGCACCAGCAAGTCAGAGTCAGAAAAAGCCGGAGCCACAGTGGCGGAGACCGGGCCCGAGGGAGCCGGTGGAGCTCGAGACTGGGCTCTGGTGACAGCACAAACCAGGGGCACGGGTGGGAGGGGAAAAACAGAGGGCTCAAAGTGCCAGTTTGAGCCAGTTAAGGCCCCCTGCTTGGCCAAGGAGTCAGCCTGGTCATTAAACATCTTGTCTGGACCAGGGATACGAGAGTGCCCCCTGACTTTCTTCCAATAGATCTGGAGATCATGGTTAGAGGTCAAGAAGTCGCACGCCAGGAACAGATCTTTGTGTTTGACCGGCTTTCTGTTCGAGGTCAAGAAACCGTTGCGTTTCCACAAAGGCAGATGACATGAGAAGCTGAGTCGCGCATAGTTGGAATCTGTACAAATCGTTAAGGCGTGGATTTTGTGTTCCACCGCAAGTTGCAAAACAATCAGAATGCCTGCCACTTCAGCATACTGGGACGTTTGGGCCCCTAGGTTGAAGCTGAGTGGTTCACACGGTTCATCGTTGACCCAGACAACACCCACGCCTGCTCTAAGAACAGTGTCGTGATGGTATGAACAACCATCAACGTAAGCTGTAATCATGTCTTTGCAGACATTGTCGTCGAAGTACCGGTGGCAAGATAATTCAGGTGGCTCGGGGTCGCAGGTTGGGGACCCTGTGTCCGCGCTGTCTGTCAAGCAGCTTTGGCACGCTGCGAGTTCCATCCCGAGAGGTGTTTTGCGATTTTGGGCGTAGTGGACCTCGATGTCAAAGCTCTGAAGAGCCATAAGCCAAAGATGCTACACGAGCGTTGGTTACAACGCCGTCTCTGATTCTTTGGCTGTTAAGGAAGGTCACTGGTTGATGATTGGTTTCCACAATCACCTTTTGGCCTCCAAGATAATTCGAAAAATGCTTCACAGCCCACACAGTGGCGAGAAGCGCCTTTTCGCAGTCGGAGAACTTTAGTTCAGGAGCCAACAAGGTTTTGCTAGCATACGCGACAACTCGTTTATCCGAGTCATGGATCTGGTATAATCCTGCACTAAGGCAGTGACAAGAGAAACCGACCTCCAGATAGAACGGTCTGTTGCAGTCTGGGTAGGCAAGACAAGGAGCTGCACAGAGTTTGTCTTTTAAAGCTTGCATGGCGTGTTGTTGGGACGGTCCCCAAATGAATGGGACGTCCTTTTTCAGTAAGTTGGTGAGGGGTTTTGCTAAGTCTGCATAGTCCTCAATGAACTGTCGGGAGTAGTTGCATACTCCCAAAAAGCTGCGAAGCTCTGAGACGTTCGTGGGAGCTTTAAGGTTTGACAGGCCTTGAATTCGACTCAGCTGTGGTTCGACACCTGTTGGACCAACCAGCAAACCGACATAGTTCACCTTGGTCCTGCACCACTGACATTTCGACAGAGATATCTTTGCCCCGGCGTTCGTGAGCTGGTTCAGGACATGGTCAATCTCAGCGAGATGCATGTCCAGGGTTTGGTTCCTCATTAAGATGTCATCGACATATATGAGGGTGCCTCTCTCACTAGCATCTGGGCAGGCTTTGTTCAGAAAGATGTTGAACTCTGCTGGCGAGTTGGCATAGCCGAAAGGGCATCGGGTGAAGGTGTACTGCCTGTTGGCAAAAGTGAACGCCAGTTTGTGCTGGTCAGCTTCCTGTACTGGTATCGTCCAGAACCCTGATGCCACGTCAAGAGTGGAGAAGTATCTCGCGTCAGTGATCTTTGGCAGATCCTGTTGGAGCTGAGCCATAGGCCACCTGGAAAGGGGAACTTGTTGGTTCAGCTTTCGGTAATCGATGGTCAGTCGCCATTTACCGTTTGGTTTCAGTACCGGCCAGAGTGGGGCTGAGTAGGTACTGTTACATGGCCGAATGATCCCTTTCGCCAAAAGATCGTCTATGATTTCCTGAATAGGTTCATAGGACGCTAAGGGAATTTTGTACTGGCGTACAAAAGTTGGTGGTGCATCCGGTGGTGTCGGAATGCGGATAGAGTGGATAGAGGTTAAGCCACAGTCAAGCGAGTCTTTTGCGAAAGAGGCTCGATATCTGTGCAGAAGTTTGCGAAGCTTTTCACGCTCCTCTTCGCCGTTCAGGGCGTCTGCCTCAGCTACGAGCTGTTCGACTTTGGCATCAAAGTCTGGATCGTGCTCAGGTGTTTGCCCGGTTGGGAAGATAGAGGGTTCTACCCCGGAAAGTGTATGGGCCGATTCTGGCTCCGAACTGACGCTTAGGACTTGCACTGTGTGCAGGATCATCTGTGAGTCCTCAGAGAGGTCGACCTGACAGATGGTGTCGTGGTCCAGCGGTACAGTTGGGAAGAGCGAGATAGCCCTGGAAGGTAGGGTATGAAAGACCTGTTCCGGCGAATGGTCTGACATCAGAGAACGGGGCATTTTTCCTATTACAGGAATCCTCAATTCAAAGTCGTGGAACGACGTGCTGATCAACCAACCCAGCGGGGTGGATTTAGGGATCAGGATATCTTCGGGTGTCGTGTTTTGTACAAGCAAGTGTGTGAATCTCGAGTGAAGCTCAAGAAGAGGAGTTGCCTGAGTAGACAGCCCTAGTTTAAGAAAGAGCAACGACGGCTGGAAGAAAGCTTGAGTGTGCGACAGCTTTTGTCCACGTTGTAGGTTCAAGCGAATGGGAACGTTTGTGGTCATTGCAGGTATGACAATGTCAAGTTCATTGGCTACCTGACAGGCTTCAGGGATCGACTGTCCTGATATGATGTTGTCGACATCAGGGGTCAGGGTTTCCTCATTAACACTGGTAAGGGACCACAGTATGTTGTTAATGGTATCGACCTGGACTGCCAACCTGACCAGTATATCACTTCCCATGTAGACCTGATATGGTAGGTCTGGGATGACCAAGAAGTGGTGAGTCATCTCCCTTTTGTTCCATCGCACAGTTAAGGCACAGACGCCTTCAGCAGTCATGGTAGCTTTAGGAAGGGAGTCCAAGGGGAAGCGAAATGCTTTCCGAACACACTGGAGGTTCGGGTCATCCCTAGACAAGGCGTCGTACAGTTCACGGCTGATGGCTGATCTGTCAGCCCAAAGAGCCAAAATCACATCGTTGACGTGATTCTCATTCAAGTTGATGCCTTCAGTGATCAATGGCCCGGGTGTGTCGGGTCCATTGGTGTCATCGAATTTGCACAAAAATGTGTCCCTTTTTATGACTGAGTCATCGAAAGGCCACGAGCAGGGTTGTGGCTCGTCGTCAGTCAAGTAGGGTTGTTCCGGTGAGCTTACACTTGTCGGTGTGCTTGTAGCAAGTTCACGCGTCAAGGCGTAACACTGAGCCCGATTCTTGTCGGTTGCTGGTATGGGTAATGGTCTGCGGACCTGTGCCCATATTTTCAGCTGTCGATAGTCGATCAGGGGCTCAAACCGTTTTAAAAGGTCTTGACCGATGAGGAAAGGAATCGACTCAAGGGGCGACACATACACGGGGTGCATGATTTTCATTGGTCCAATGGAGATGTTCAACATCGTCATTGTATTTAAAGTCGTACTGTCTGTAGAGTACGGCCGAATCTCCATGGCGCAGGGCTGCAGCTTGATGTCCCTGTTGGACTGCTGCACCATATTGCGCAAGCGATTAAAGAGCGTGGAGGACATCAGAGTGATGTCAGCAGCAGTGTCCAGGAGTGCTTCGTGTTGAAGTTCATTTTCAAGGACGGTATTAACGTAAAACTTCTGTGCGATGCCTTTCTCAGTGAGGTTGCACAAGAATTGGAGGAAAGGTGGTTCAAGCCGAATAAGTGAGGAGTCTTCTTCGGCTGGCTCCTCTGCGGAGTTCGCCTGTACTACCAAGACGGCGCTGGTAGATGTCGTTTCTTGTGATGTGTTGTCCTGAGGTTCAAGATCGGCAGGAGTGTCAGCTGGTGAGGGTGTCACCGACTCCTGTAAGGACATACACACGTCCTCCTGAAATTCAGTTTGCTGGACAGGCATCATGTTTGGCTCAGAAGTGTCATCCTGGACGGCGGCGACAGCGACAGAGAAGAGATCTGCTTTCTTATCTCCTTTTCTCTGTATTCTACGGATTATTTGTCTAAGGAGTTTACGTTCTTCCTCTGTCAGATCAGAGGACTTTGA